CATGCGATTTCGGACACTTTCATATGCACCCCTTCTTCCTTCCGATCCGTTCCGTTGAGCTGCCTGCATTGAGTAGCATGTGCATTGCATTTCAATTCAACAATAATGCTGTGAATCGCGCTGCATTTGCAACGTTTGGCGTTTGTTTTACTACTCGCATTGGTCTGCATGGCGTTGCATTCGATACGTCTGTGATGATTGCGATGATTACGATGGTGAGGATCCTGGCTAGAACTTGAGCGCGCGCGAAGCGCGCGCGATGGTTCTAGTATATATATATATACATATATACATACATCCAAACGAACAACCATACACACAAACACACATACACTTATACATACAGTCACACACACCCCTACATACATGTATACATAAAACATGTACGTATCCATACTTACATACACACATACATACATATATATACACACATAAAAATACACATGTACGTACGTACGTACATCCATACATCATACGTACATACATGCACGCAATCATGCATACATCTATACATACATACCAGCAAACACACATACATTCACACATACACATGCACATTCAACCATCCATACACGCACACATACATACACACGTACACATCCATACACATTGTCATACATACACATACCTACCTACATACATACGTTCATTCATACATAAACACGTGCAGCACCACACATTGATATTTGTACGGCTCCATGCGCATGCGAGCATTTCGATCTTGCGTTGAAAAGCAGTGGATCCGCCACAACTTGAATAACGTTAGGCTGCTTGGTTTCGGGGCATCCTGGGAGCGTTCAAGACGGACCGATGTGGTTCCAAGACAGTCCGAAAGGGCCCAAGAGGACACAAGAGGGCCCAAGGAGGCCCCGAGTGGTTCCGGAGAGACCCCTGAGACAGCCCAACGATGGCCGCAAAACGGATCAACGGTCTCCCAAGATAGTCCAATGGGCCCCGAAGAGGCCGGCTTTGGACGTCTTGCTGGCTTCTTGGGCCGTCTTGGAGCCCTCTTGGGAGGCCCTCTCGGGCCGTCTTGAGCCATCTTGGGCACCTTGGAACGCTCTTGGGCAGACTCGGGGCCCTGTTGGACCGTTTCGGGGACCTCTTTGGGCCGTCTTTGCCCGCATTGGGGCTCTCTTGGTTCCGGAAAAACCATGCGGAACACGCCCTGGCACGCGGGAAGCGCTGGACAATTTGTGGATTGGAGTCCCGGCCTTTTGATATTTGATCATTGAGGACAGGACTCGAAGAGGTCTCTTACTGAGGACACCCCAAGTGGGGCACGATGGCGGAAATACAGATGTGTAACTTGCATATCTTGGTGTGTGTACTCGCATCTACAGAAGCGCGAGGTGCGAGGGGGCTGGCCTTCCGAGAAGGCTGCCCGCTTTTCAGAAGCGTCCACGAAGCCTTTCGCGATGGCCTTGGCCCTTTTCGTACCCTTGCCTGCTTAGAAGGCCCCCCCTCCTCGCCCCGCCCCTCCTCGCGGCGCGCCACCAGCTCCCCCCACTTCTCTGGAGCACACCCTCCCCCCCCGGCTTCATGCTTCCGACAGAGGTCTGGGCCTGGGGCTGTGCCGCTTGTGCGCTGTGCTCGGCTGGCCGCCGAGCCCCTCTCTCCAGCGCTTGAGCCACCAGTCGTCTTGTCTTCAGCCCGGCTTCTCCCTCTACAGGAGGACTATCAAAAAATCGTCAAACAGTAGTCCGGACGCGACATCTGGAGGATTCTTCGGGGTATTTTCGAGTTTTTTTTGGGGGTCTCTTTTATGGCTCGTCCGAAATCTCCCTGTAGGAGGACAGGCCCGACTCAAGTCTCCTCTCGTCTCGTCTCGTCTCCCGCTCTTCCTCCGGAGCCCCCCGCGCCGTGGGCCTTTCCTCGCCGTCGGGGGCCCGCGTGTGCGCCGACGGGGCGCGCCGCCGTCGCCGCCCCGGGGCCACCCTGGGTCCGCGCAGGTCCTCGAAGGAGGACCCTGACATGGAGTCGGGCGTGTCCGCCTACAGGAGGAATCGTCAAACATTGTGCCAAACAATAGGGGGACGAACTTTTCAAGCACTTGTTTCTTAGCATTCTGGAGTATTTTTTTGACTCTGTTTTCTTTTTCGTCCACCATCCGCCTGTGGGGGGACACGCCCGACCTGACCCTGATATCCGGGCGTCTTGGAGAGCTCACGGCGGGTGCTCTGGCCCCATTTCGAACCGCAGGGCCCTCGCGGGTATTGTCCGGCCCGAGAAGCCCGACGCAAAGAGGGGTTGACAGCTGGGGTCGCGATCTTCCACGAAGTCGCGATTTGTTTTGAGAGGTCGGATGTCGGAGGGAGGAAGAGGATTAGGACGAGGACGAGGATGAGGATGAGGATGATGCAGGCAAGTTATCCAGGTCGAACCAGTCAGCAGGCCCTGTCTGGTCCCACCCTCCCTCCCTGAGCTTCGGAATCAAGTATCGGACACCTTCAAATTAGAGTGAAAGGAGTTCCCACCTGGCGAAAAGATGGCGACCGCGCGCGGTTCCGCTTCCGATGATCTGGTGAGGGGGAACAATGCGGGCCGCGCAGGGGCCTCAGAAGCTCCCTGCGTGGCGCTGGGGCGAGACCACCGTGCCATTCAGCCCTCCCCTCGGGTGGGGCAGGCTTCCAGGGAGCGTGGCGATGGCGAAGCGTGCGCCGCGCCAGCACAGCACTGCCACTCTCACGCACGGGCTGCGCAGCGCTTGGGCGAGGACAGCTTGTCGCCCGCGGCGCGCGGCCTCGGCGCCCCTGCCGGCCTGCATGCGACGCGGCGGCCGAGCAGCAGGCGCCGCGCCTGCGCGTCAGCGCCGCTCGCAAGCGAAGTGGGCTCGCTGCCAGGGCGAGGGCGACCAGTCGCGCGCTCGCGCGCGGCCCCAGGACGTGCGTGGCGAGGGAGAAGCACGCACCGTGCCGCGGCAAGAGAGCGTCACTCTCGGGCAAACGCTCAGCGGAACTTTCGCGAGTACTGCGTGTCCGTCCACTCGTGGTGAGTAGGCGGGCGAAAGCTAGGCGCAGCGCCGAAGCGGAACTTTAGTTCTCAGGAAGACAGAGCGCGTCGCCCTGACGAGAGCGTCATTTCGCCCTTTCGCGCGCGACGTGCGCCTTGTCCGTGTCCTGCCGCGCGTCTAGCAAAGGCGAAGACAAACCGTTGAGTTGAAAAGAGGGAGCGTTGATTTTGTATTGTTGTCGATGGGTATGATCTGCCCCCTCAGATTCGGCGCGCGCGCGGTGTGCGGCGCGCCCCATTCCTGCTGCGCATTTTGCAAGACCGACGACAAGGCGTCAATGTTGAAATAGAACCTAAACTTCGTACTGTTTCGTGCTAGGCAGGATGGGCCCACACCTGGATGCGGGGGCCGTCGGTTGGCTAGGTGGCAGAGTGGGAGTCTATACTAACGAGGAACATTGAGAACAAGGGAAAATCATTCCCTCTATAGCAGTTCATGGTGCGGTCTGCGTTGGAAAATAGGAGGATGAGGGCCAGAGTGAGCCCAAGGTGAGTTAACGATGCTGCAATACACCCTCCCGTGCTAAGTCCCCCCTCTACAGGTCTTGTGCAAGACTTTCATGTCACCACCAAAAATGCCACTCAGTGGGCTGGTCGTCCACGCGAGAGCCCCATTTTGAAACGAGCTGCCTGCATGCTTCAAACGAGTTATCAGGAACGCGAGGAAGGTAGGACCATCATGCTCAACGAGGTGGCCAGTGAGAGCCCCATCCGTGTAACTGCTGCTCGAAGTTGTACTGGCAGCTCGCTCTAAAGAGCACCATTTTGAAAAGGAGCTGCCCTCCATCCGTGCAGCCGCTACATCTGTTCAAGCTCCTGGTTGTCGAATGCGGGGAAGTCTCAAGCGAGAGCCCCGCTTGAAAAGGGAGCCGCTTGCCATCTGTGTAGCTGAGCTGCTGAATGTTTGAGACGAGTGTGTGCGGCGCTACGGCGATAACCCATGCCTTTTCTTCTAGCTGTAGCAAGTGCTGAGACAAATGTGCACGACGCTAATGCGAGATAGCCATTTTGAAAACGTATCGCCCTCCATGCTCCTACCTGCTGCAAGTTCGTAAGGCGAACGTGCGCGGCGCTTTTGCGCGAGCCAATTTTCAACAGTTGCCGCCCTCCTTCCTTGTAGCTGTTGGGACAATTCGAGCTTCAGGGTCAGGAGTGTTGGGGAGGTCTCGAGCGACATGCCCAGATGCGCCCTACCGAATCGCTTCGTGGCGCGAGAGGGAGGAGTTATCTACAAGGGAAAGAGATTGAGGTGGAGGAAGGAAGTGGACGGGGGACGAGAGGGGAAGACGAAGACGTGCCAGGGAGCCTGCGCACCCGACAGCGGTCACCGCCCTCTGCGCGCCACTTCGGTGGAGCCCTCGCCCCCGGCCGGCCTCCCGCCCCCCCGGGCCCGGAGACCCATGGCCCCGCCGTCTTGCCCTCGCGCCCCTCTCAGAAGAGCCCCCGCCCTCTCGTGCCCCGCTCCCCCGCCCGCTCCGATCCGCGCCCCGCCATCGCCCCGCCCCAGCCGCGCCCATCCAGCGCGCCAACGCCGCCCACGGCACTGAGGCGGATGACCGCGGCGGTCGCCCAGGCAGCGGCTCGAAGCTCGCCGGTCGGCCTTCAAGCTGGCAGGAGCTGCGTCGCTTTGTGGCAGGTGCCACACACACCTCTGAGAGCTGCACCCGAAGTCGTCCCCCCCCCCCTTCTCTTACCAGCCTGAAGCATGTCCCTTGTATCCCCCTGATTGGCATCGCTTTATATCGATGCCGATGTTACCGATTCCCTCAGTTGCTGAGGGCGCATCCCTGAGATTGTCATCGCCTGCTGGCTAGTCAATCTTAAGGACAGGGGTAAGCTCGAGGCTGGTTACTCTCCCCCCTGCAGCCGTCTCCGTCAGGCGCTTGCGCGCCCGGCGCAGTGCGCGCGGGCGCGCGTCGGCCGCACCAGCGCCACGCGCCTGCGCGGCGCGGCGCTGGGCGCGCGCGCGATCGCCGCTGCCGGCGCGCATGCCCAGGGAGTTGGCGGAGGCCAGCTCTGCTGGGCTGCGGCCAGAGGCTACGGCGACGGCCGCGGCGGCTGCTCCAGCGTCGGAGGATGAGGCGGCAAAAGAGGTGCCGCCAGTGCTCATCAAGCGCGTGGAGCTGGTGAGGGGTCACCGGCCCGTCATCTCCTCGCAGGTGCCGGTGTACATCGGGCTAGAGGACAGGGACGGGCGTTGCTTCGAGGACGACGGCCGGTCCCAGAAGCTGAGGCGCCCTGGGCCGCTGGGACCACGGTAGAGGTGGCTCGGTCCACCTCGCGCAAGCTTCAGGGTGAAGGGGGTGATTCGCGTTTCTCCTCGTGCCCTTCGCTGTCGTTGCCGCCGAGAGGCCTCCTTGTCCTAGCGGCTGGGTTCGGAAGAGAAGTTGCGGTCAGGATGATGCTCGGGAGCGATCCTGTGTGCGGGAGGAGTGGAGGGGAGCCTCGATGAGTGGAGAGGCGGGGCAAGGGAGGGGAGGGGAGGGGCGGAGAGGGAGAGGAGGGGCAGGGGACCCTGATCAACCTGTGGGTGGGGGCGGTGGTAGGTCCACCTGGGACTGCGGTCCTCTGACCTCCTGCGGGCCACATGATGTGAAAGAGAAGGATGGCGGGAGACGGGTATCATCGTCATCGCACTTGGATCTGGCAGGTACTGCTGGACGCGCGGCCCCGTCTGCAAGCCCTGCGTGTTCCATCCGCACAAGACGTCGCAGTTCCGGGACGTCACGAAGACCTGGCAGAACTACTGCTCGAAGGACTGCTTCCTCCGCGGCTGGTGGAACATGCCCGAGAATCTCTGGAACATGCGTCCCACAGATGTGGAGATCCAGGAGGAGATGAAGGACAGCTGGGTCAAGGTCGCGGACACTAAGGACTACTGCCCCAAGCAGGAGGACCGCCATTGCCATCACATTGTTCTTAGCCGCGTCGCCGTCTGCCACCGTGCGCGGCCACCTCGCCGTCTGCCTCTCCCGCCTGCTTCGTGCTCCTTGCTCCCTGGGGTCCCGTGGCGCTTCTGGAGCCCACGGGGCGGAGACCTGGGCCGGGCGGGGCGGGGCATGGCCGGGCGGCGGGGCACGGTGGTGCCATGCTGGGATGGGGCGGCGCAGGGCGGGGCGGGGCGGGGCGGATGCCTGCGAGGACATCGACCGACCGCTGCGGCTGGACGTGTTCCCCATCCTGGACGACGGCTGCGACGCGTCGACGGGCGGAATGTCGCTGATCACGGGCACGGTGATACCGACTCCCAACGAGGCTCGAACCCGTAGGATGATCAGCAGGGGCGCCTTTGGGCAGGATGTCCTGCGCCAGCAGTTCAAGGTGATGGACTGGAACGTGCTAGCGGACATGTATGCCACCGAGTCTCAGTACCCCTACTGCGAGAGGTGGGCGTTGTCCTGGAACTGGCGGCAGCATCTCATTCTGAAGGAGCTGAAGTCGACGGACGTGGACATCATTACGCTGCAGGACAGGGATGTCCAGTACTCGGAGGAGGAGGAAGGGGAGGAGAAGGACGATGATGATGATGATGCTGCTGATGATGATGATGATGATGATGATGATGATGGTGATGATGATGATGATGATGATGATGATGATGATGATGATGATGATGATGATGATGATGATGATGCGGATGATGCTGATTACGATGACGATGATGATGATGATGACGATGATGATGATGATGCTGATGATGATGATGATGCTGATGACGCCGATGATGATGACGGTGATGATGGTGATGATGATGATGATGATGATGATGAGGAGGAGGAGGAGGAGGAGGAAGAGGATAAGGAGGAGGAAATGGATGAGGGCGGAGGGAAGGAGTGAGGAGGGCCCCGCCCCGCCCAAGGCAGTCACCCAGGGCCTTCGGTGACCGTTTTCGGGGCGGGGCCTGTGCCTCCGGCGGCGGCGCAAGTGGTTGGACGTGCAACCACCTTGGAGGCTGTACAGTTGGCCCTGATCAACCACTCCGCTGAGGCTCCGTCCAGAGAGGAGGGCTTCCGCTCAGAACTCGGCCACCTGCGCGCGCGCGGGTGTCCGCCAACCTTCTGGGGGAGCCGACGGCCGCCGAGCCGCGAGGCGGCAGTGCGGACGGCTCCGCAGGAGGCTGAACCAGCCATCCGGTCTTGTTGTTTCCTCCTCATCCTCCCGCTTTCGTTTGTTGGGCGCTGATCTAATGGAGGATGACGATTAGTAAATGACCGGGGGTCGTGTTCACGCGGCGGCGCCCGGGATGACGATTAGAAAAAACCGGCCGCGGGCTGGAACACTATTTTTTTATCGTTCTCCTCCAGTCAGAAAATTGCGCAGAAACAGCAGAACAAAAACTATTTTTTTTACTCTTTCTCTCCCACTTTTTTTTAATCGTCATCCCGCATTATGTGACTGCGTTATTTCACTCTTCCAGCTCAGAACAAGAGAGGCGACATCGGCAGCGGACCGCAGTACGCGGCTCGGCAAAGTGCGTGCCCTGAAAGAAGGACAGAGTGGAGGGGGCGAAGAGGTGAGGAGAAGCAGAGTCCTCCTCCTCCTCCTCCTCCTCCTTCCCCCCTTCAGCCTTGCAGTGCGAACTGCGTAAAAGTAATCATATGGCCTCACCGCTCAGACCACAGGGCGAAGGACTCGGACGCGTCATAGGATACGGTCTTCCCACCTCCACCTCCTCTCTCTCTCTCTCCTCTTTCTCTTTCTCTGTCTCATTCTTTTCCTATGTCTCTTTCTCTTCCTCTTTCTCTTTCTCCTCCTCCTCCTCTCTTCCTCCTCCTCTCTTTCTCCTCCTCTCTTCCTTATCTTTCTCATTCTCATCTTCCTCCGTACATCTTCCTTATACATAGTTCTCCCTGTCGGCGTCATGCCGCTTTGTCCACCTGCCGATCTTAAGTTTTAGGCTCCCAGGTCTATGTTTGCGCACTCATGCGGCCCATGTGGCGAAAACAACGTTGTTGACGTTGCGAGGGCGCAGCGCCCGGGTGCATCTTCGGTGCCCGCGCGGTTATCCTGTGTGTGCGTAGGGGCGCGGGAGCAGGTGCCCATGTGTGCCATGCTACTTGTCGGCGGGTATTGGCCAGCCACTCCCTCCTCCTCCTCCTACTCCTCCTCCCTGCCCCTCCTTCTCCTGTCTTGCCTGCCTGATTATTTCGCTGTTCGTCCCACTGCTGAACTGCACCCCACTTTACTTCTAGTTGTAGGCGAACTTTAGCCCACTTCTAGCCCATTGTTAGCCCACTTCTAGCAATTTTTTAGCCCACTTCTGGCCCACATTTCGCCCACATTTCGCCCACTTTTGGCCCACTTTTAGCCCACTTTTTAGTCCACTTTTAGCCCGCTTTCAGCCCACTTTTAGTCCACTTTTAGCCCGCGCGTACCCGGTCTTTCAGTTGCGCGCCCCAGAGGCTCGCGGGGAATGCAACAACGACGAACGGGAATACAGCCGTGGTGGCGAGATTCCACAATCAACCGAACAAACATTAGAAACTCTCGGGGGACTGGACACAGGAAAACGTCGATCGGGTTCATGAATTCGTAGGACGAGGATGCGGCGGAGATTCGCCCGAGCGTACGAGGATGCGGTGGAGATTCGCTGGAGCATTTCAGCCCACTTCCAGCCCGCTTTTAGCCATCTTTTAGCCCACTTGCAGCCCCTTTGTAGCCCACATTTAGCCTACTTTTTGCCCGCTTATAGCCCAGATTTAGCCCGGTCGTTGGCCGCGTGGTCGGAGACTTCGCGAGGCGAGTGTGAGAGCCACGAGGACGAGGAAGGGAAACGTGAGGGGCAGGAGGGGGAAGGCGATGAGGAGGAGGAGGAGGACGAGGAGGCAGAGGATGAGGAGTAAGGAGGATGAGGCGGGAAAACTGTACGCGACAAGTCGTGGCAATCTAAACGGTCGCAGCCAGGGGCGCGCGTTGCCTGCAAAAGACACCATTGCCCCCGGACTCACGCGGGAAAGTGCGGCGCACATATAGGGATGAGGGTGCCAGTGCAATGAAGAGGTGGCCACTTCGAGAATGCGCCCCGGATGGCTGGCGACACTTTTCTTCGCCTCAGGGGCGGCGGGTTTGGGCAGGGCGCCACGGCGCCTCCAGCGGAAACACCAAATCATCGTCTAGCGATGTCTGGCCTCCTCCCCTGAGCCAATACATCTCGATTCGGCTCCGCTCACATTAGTCTTAAACATTCGCAGCAACTTCTCGGATAGAGGGCGTTTGGTTTTCAACATATCTGTGCCTTTCGCCTTAGCGCCACGCGCATGCGTCGTAAACGTTTGCAAGAGCTTCGCGGATGGAGGGTGAGTTTTTTTCAACATGCTACCCTCGCCTTCAGCGCCGCGCGTACACCCCAGGCGATGCTTAAGAAAAGCTAAGTTTTCGGCCAGAGTCTCGATTATTCTTAAGTTTTCAATGTAAATCCCCAGATGTTGACAGAAGTTCTGGGTTTTATTCAATTTCTGAGACTCTGAATTTCTTAACCCATGATTTCTTAAGCATTTCGCAAGGTGTATTTGTCTTAACAGCTTGCAGGACTTTCGCGGACGGAGGGCGGGCGTTTTTTCCAGACGTGGCTCTTGCTGGAGCGCCGCACACGTGGGTCTCGGCAGTCTACAGCACATTCAAAAGGTTCTCATGGACGAAATCCCCCAAATGGTGTTCTGAGACGAGATAGGACTCTCAGGGCGCGACAGTCACGTTGATTCGCGGTGTGGACGTCCCAGGGATGGTGTTCTGGCAAGCTTCAGGGTCGTCTGGCCGCAACGACCACATATATTCTCGGCGTCGGCGTCCTAGAAATTGTGTTCTTGCGCAGTTGAAGACTTTCAGGCGGTTGCCTTGCAACGGGTCTCTTCCCGCAGTGAAAAAACGATCTTTGTAAGAGCCTGTTTGCAGGGAGCTTGGAGGGAGGGTTTATTGCAACATCGCTGATGGGTCTTGGGTTTGCACTGGTCTTCTTCCTCCTCCTCTTCCTCCTCTCCCCTCCTCCTCC